CGGAGAGTTGTTTAGTGGGGACAGAGTTTCCGTTTCTGCTGAGATGAAAAGAGTTCTGAAGATGATGGTGGCGATGGCTGCACAATGTGAATGTATTTAAAAACTGGGAAAATAAGTGATACAGGGTCAGAACACCCCGGGTCCTATAGAAGGTGCCGCATTGGAGACCCCTCCGTCTCTCCGTTGGTCCATCGTAGCCCAGTCGCAGGGTTGGAGCATCACTGCAGGGAGGGGAGGGGAGGGGAGGGGAGGGGAGGGGAGGGGAGCTCTTACAGGCTCGTTATATAGAAAATACAGGCCTTGCCTTTTCCGACCCAGGCTCACACTGAGCATGGCAGGAAGGCACGTGGGAGGTGCCAGGGACCGAGGCCTTCTGGGGGGGGGGGGGGTGCGGGGGGGAGGTCCCATCCCACTCCCGAGCACTGGACACCGACCGGTGGGGGCATGGCTGGGAGAATCGCCTCTGCTGCTGAAATGTGTGCACACGCACAGGCGTGTCCCCGCACAGAAATGTGTAATGAAGTGTGTGCACGAGACAGCTCTGCTGCGCTCAGATCTGCGTCCCTGGGGCCCGGGCCAGAGGGGGCCTCGGTGGACATTGGTTGACCTGAGCTGTGGTTCATCGTGGAGCCATGCCGACTCCCATCCTTTCGTGATCACATGCTTCTCTCCCATTTGGCACAGAAACCAGTGTGGTGCTGGGTGCCAGGAAATTGACCCCTGGATCACTGAGTGAATGAGAACCCATTGGGAGATAAACAGCACAGGAATGCCTGGTCCCGCCCTGTGTCCCCCACCCCCCTCCTCGTGCTCCTTTTGGCAGAGATGGTCGAGGCTCCCTTCACCGAGGAGCCGAGGTGGCAGAAGAGCCGGGACTTGGGCAGTGGGAGGTCCTGGGGGTTTCAACCTCCTTAACCTGGGGCCTTCTAGCCTCTGCCTAACTCGAAAAACAGCCCCCCCCCCCCCACGTTAGCACTGCAGACCCGGGAGCTGGGACGGACTCGCCAGCACGTCAGAAACAACCGGAATGGTCTCCGTGGGCAGCGAGCGGAGTCAAGTGTGATATCGGCTAAGCAGTGATGCCCACCACCCAGGGGAGCTGGGGTCAGGGAAGAACAAGGACATGGCATGACGTTCACGGTTTATGGTTCTGTCTAAATATGTGCGCATTATGTGTGCAAACATGCCTGTAATGTACATGTGCATAGAGGGGGTGGGGCAACAGTAGGGTTACAGTTGTTTGGATGGAACATAATACAATAATTAATAAATAATAATAGGAAAAAAACGAAAAAAATAATAATAGAAGAATAAATTGTTTTGTGTGGTCACAACTGTAAACCTACTTAGCCCTCACCCTGTACATCCAGTGTGTGGACGGGGGGTTCCCCCAAACCAGCAGCAGCAGCACCAGGGACCGTTGGAAATGCACGTTCTCAGGCCTGAATCAGGAAATCTGGGGGTGAAGCCCTCGCGATCTGTGCTTTAACGAGCACCCCCCTTCCTCCCGGCTTCTGCTGCCTGCCAAGGGGGAGTCCCCTGGCCTGGAGCATGCCCGGCACCCTCTCCTTCCTTCGCACTCACCCGTGTCTCCTCTCCAGGCCCTGATCCAGCTGCCCCCCTACATCTCCCAGTGTGACGAGGTGCTGCAGTTCTTTGAGACGAGACCCGAGGACCTGAATCCCCCCAAAGAGTAAGTTGGCTTGTGGACCTCCCCGGTGCGTGCCCAGCCGGCCCCAGGCGGAACTGGAGGACAGCAAAGGAAAAATCAAACTGCTCCTGTGCTTTGAGCCCCCACGGGGCCTCACTTCTCGCAGCCTTCGTCGCACTCGGTGGGCAGTGACAGTCCGGGTTCACGGGGAGGAAACCGGCTGCGGGCACCTGGGCCCCTAACTCCTCCCTCCCTTTCTGCCTCAGTTGCTTCATCTGTGCAATGAGGTCACGTCCCTGGCCCCACCCACATCATGGGGTGTTGGAGGCTGCAATGAGAGAATTGGGAATCTCTGAGCTTGGCGCTGACAACATGGTGACACCCCCACCCCGGCTGTCATGTTTGATAATTCCGCTTCCTGGCGGTGGAGTTTTATTCCGATAGTTTTCAGGAGAGTCCACGTCCTCACTTCCTACGTGGGAATAGCAGTAATGCGTACTTCACAGGGTCACAGTGCGGCTTGGGTATGTGTGTGTGAAGTCCTCGGCACGGGGCCGGCACATAGTAGGCACACAGCCAGATTTCACAGCTCCTGGGCTGTCGGGACAGCTCCTCCCTGGCACCCTGAGGGAGATGCGCTGCGTTCACTGCTATCCAGGCTGCTACCCGGTCTTAGCGTGTTCTGTGTGCCAGGGTGGCTTTCCCTCCACGTCTAGTCTGGGGCCCGAGCCCTGGGGCGGGGCCTCTGTGCCTGGCCAGGTGGGCACCGGCTCAGCAAGGGGAGGCCTGGCTCCTGTTTTCAGACTGAGTCCCCCCCACCCATCAGCTCCTCCCGGGGCGCCGGAGCACTTCTCCAAGAAAGGGAGAAAATGAAGAGGAATCCATTCTTTTTTTTTTTTTTTTAAAGAATCTGGGTCCCTGGGGCTGGCTTAAATGTTACTCATTGCCTGGAGATATTGTGAGATGGAGAATCTCAGTTTTCTAACAGACTAACTTATGTCAATACACAACAGGTACTGACTCCGACTCTTTCCCACCCCCATTCTTTCCTGTACAGGGAGCATGTTGGGAAAAAGAAATCTGGTAAGAATATTTTCCATATTCTCCTATTCATTCCATGTTCACCCTACTGAGCACCTGTGATGTGTGTGCCAGGCCCTGGGCTTCACATTGGGGATGTGGCCATATCGATGGACGGATGGATGGATAGATGCGCTCCACATTGGGGATGCAGCTATATTGATGGATGGATGGATGGATGGATGGATGGATGTTAGATGGATGGTTGGATACTTGATTGTTTGATTGATTGTTTGATACCACATACTGTTCCCCCCCCCAAAAAAAAAATGATTGGAGGGTGTTTCATCTTTTGGGTTTTTTTATTTATTTATTTTTATTGATTTTAGACAGGAGAGAGAGAGAAACATTGATGTGAGAGAGAAATGTGAACTGGCTGTCTTCTACCCGCCCCCTACTGGGGATTGAACCTATAACCCAGGCATCAAACCGGGACTCGAACCAGCGAACTTTTGGTGCAGCCACACCAGCCAGGGTGGCTTTCATCTTATACAAAAAAATTACTAAGGGGATGAGACCTATCTTTCCCAGAGAACACCTTGGGAGGGGCAGGGGAGACAGCTTCTAATATTCTGTAGTGTGTTAACTGCCCCCACATCTGCACAGGCCCAGCCACACCACACCTGGGCCAGCGTGTTCTTCAGAGCTCCCAGAATCCTAAGTTATTTTATTTATCTGGGACTCCAGGAAGCTTGAGGAGGTTGATAAAAATGGGGGAAGGGGCCCTAACTGGATTGGCTCAGTGGATAGAGCGTCGGCCTGCGGACTGAGGGGTCCCAGGTTCGATTCTGGTCAAAGGCATGTACCTTGATTGCGGGCACATCCCCAGTGGGGTGGGGGGGGGGGGTGTGCAGGAGGCAGCTGATCGATGTTTCTAACTCTCTGTCCCTCTCCCTTCCTCTCTGTAAAAAATCAATAAAATATATATTTTTTAAAAATGAGGGAAGGGGGCCCAGCAGAGGTCCTAGAAGTAAAAAAGGATGCCTCCTTCCATGGGCCTCAGTTTCCGCATCTGAAAAATGGGGATAATAATAGTCATCTACCTAATAGGATTATCATATTCTACTGACACATCTAAAGCACTCAGAACAGTGCCCGGCATGTGGTAGCTGGTACATGTTTGCTGCTGCCTTTATTCTGCTGCTGTTAATTCAGAGTCCGAGGGTGTCCTTCAGAGCAGCATCAGGAGCAGTTTCAACAGCTCTGGCCCCCGTGCAGGCCCAGGAGAGTGGAGAGGGGTGTTCTCGTTGCCTCGAGGTCCCGCTGTGGCATGAACTCTGGCCTCTTCCCTCGCAGCCTGTTTACCGCTCCTGTCTGCTTTAATAGGTACTGGTCAGCCATGGCATCTGCTCCGGCTACAAATAGCCCCAGAGCCTGAGGGTAATGACATGTTTCCTAGAAAAGAGCGGAGCGGCCACTCTCGGGCGGGTCACAGAGTTTCTGGCTCCCAGTGTGCAGACCTGTCCTGGAAGGGCGGGCGGCAGAGAGGAGAGACAGCGCTGGCCTGTGGAAACAGAAGTGTCCCGTCAGGCGGGCCTGATGAGGGGACTGGTCTGGAAGTCGGAGAAGAAGCTCTAATTTGCGGCAGCCGCTGCCACATCACCCACCTGCAGTGATGGGGCCGGGTTATTTATGGTCCCGACGGGTAGGAAATAGCATCTCTCTTCCTTCAGACGAAGATGCCTTGTTTTCCGGCTGACCTTTGAACACGCCCTTTGTGTTAGACCCAGCCTTCTTGCTGCAATTTGAAAGGGACTGAAGATTTGACAGCCAAACCCTGAGATTTCTGGGCCAGAACTGAGCTGGAGAAGGCTTATCCGTCTCCAGAATTTCCTGGGCCCTGGCTGGCTTGGCTGGCTCCTGCAGACTTTGGCTCATGTGGTCTCCAGTTCTGCTCATCCTGCAAAAAAAAAATCCTCCACCAACATGTGACAGGTCGTGTGATTATCTAAGGAGCATCTTTCTTCCTGATTTTTCTACCCTCTTCTTACTTATTTTATTTTTATTTTTTTGGTTAAACCTCACCCAAGGATATTTTTTCCATTGATTTTTAGAGAGAGTGGAAGGGAGGGGGAAAGACAGAGAGAGAGAAATATTGATGTGAGAGAGAGAGATATCAATTAGTTGTGTCCCACATGAGCCTGACCTGGGCTGGGGATCAAGCCTGCAGCTGAGGTACATGCCCTTGACCAGAATCGAACCCAGGATCCTTCAGTCCCTGGGCCAACGCTATCCACTGAGCCGAACTGGCTGGGGCTCTACCCTCTTCTTACTGAGGTATTCTCTCATTTACCGCTGCGGAGCAAGACGGGCAGTGTTATGTTGTATTTCTGGAAAGAATATTCTGCTCTGCTGTTTATTGCTCATTGTATTGGTTTGCTGGGGCGGCTTAGAGAGCAGAAACTTACTCTCTCACAGATGTGAAGGGTATGGTTGGGGTCTGGAGAGAGGCTTCTTGGCGTGTAGCCTGCTGCCTTCTCGCTGTGTCCTCACATGTAGAGACGGAGATCACGCTCCCTGGTCTCTTCTTACAAGAGCACAAACCCCAGCATGAGGTCATGACCTCATTTAACCTAATTACCTCCTGTACCATCACATAGTGGTTAGACCTTCAACAGGTGGCTTTGGAGGGGTCCAGTTTTATCCACAGCAGTTATTTTTAAATTTCAAAACATGTCATCTTGAATCAAAGCATGGCCAACTAGGCCCAGCCGGTGTGGCTCAGTGGTTGAGTGTCAACCTGTGAACCAGGAGACCACGGTTCGATTCCCAGTCAGGGCACATGCCTGGGTTTCAGGCTCGATCCCCAGTGTGGGACGTGCAGGAGGCAGCCAATTGATGATTCTCTCTCATCATTGATGTTTCTCTCTCTCTCCCCCTCTCTGAAATCAATAAAAATATATTTAAAAACAAAACAAAACACGGCCAACTAGAAAATTCTGTGGTAGATTAGGCATCTGCCTCTTGAGAATATTTTATACACTTCCTCGAAGATAAAATCGCCCTTCCTCTGTGGAATCTCCTCCTTTCTGCTCACCTCTTCCTTCTCTCCTGTGTCCTGCGGGACCACAAGAATGACAACGCTTACCTAGGAATACTTGCTCTCACACTTGCAGCTCCTATGCCCTTACTGTGCGTTATAGAGCTTGGCTGCAGTATCACAGTCCACCAGCAGGTGTCTCTGCATAACACCTAAATGGCCTGGAGCCTAGTTTGAGAAGCTGGTGTGTCAAATCCTGGTGCCTGATTTCCATACGTTGAGCGCTGAGCGCTGTGGGTGAAATGCAGGCAGCAGCTCTGGGAGAGCTGGTGTAGAAAAAGCAACCCCATGCGCCCTCGTCTGAGCCACTCATTGGCAGGGAACGACTCTCTTGTTCACAGTGAGTCCCATAATTCCCCAATTTTGTCACTGCTTGTAGTTATGCCAGATCCCGTCGGCAGCCCGGTTAGGAGAGTTGGTGCAGAATGGACAGTTTCTAGAAGTTTCCATTTGCCCTTTGTCCATTCACTTCACAAATGTCCATTGAATATGTCTGTGCTAAGTGCTGAGTGAACAAGACAGCCATGGTTATACATTCCACTAGAGGCCCAGGGCACGAAATTCGTGCACCGGTGCGGTCCCTAGGCCTGGCCAGCGATCGAAGCGCGAGCGTCTGGTGTGGGAAGGCAGGTCCCAGCTGACCTCTGGGCCCAGGGCAGCACCTGGGCCCCCACACCCCCCACACACCTGCCTCCACCTGAGTCACGGTGCCCGAGTCCTCGCGCAGAGATGCAGTGAGCGCAGCTGGACACCGTGGGCCGGGGTGCAGCGTGGGCCTCTGGGCCGCCCAGCGGCGCCACAAGGAAGCCGGGCGGGCAGCGCGCTCTCTCCCGGCCGACCTTGCAGACCAGCTCCTGCACGAACCCATGGAGAGCCTGACCGGCCCCTGTGGTCCTGGCGGCTGTGGCTTGGCTCACCCGGAAGCCCATTGGGGCCAGGAGCACCTCCACTGCCGCCCGCTGCCAGTGCCTCATAGCCTAGGCCTGCCATGTTCCGCGCTGCCCCCTGGTGGTCAGCACACGTCATAGTGAGCAGTTGAACTCCCATCCGAACTCTTCGTCGAGGGGACATTTTGCATATTAGACTTTTACTATATAGGATGTTTATTAAGCACCTACTGTGTGCCTGACGGTACTCTAGGTCCCCTGGGAATATGAAGGTGAACAAGATGTGGGAAGTTTTCTCCCACCTTGTAGGAAAGAGAGCGGTGACCCTTCACCGGGCTAGCATGCCCTGCTCTGGTTTTCCACGTCAAGAATCCGCGGTGCCTGGCTCTAACAAAGGGCTTTTGTGCTGCTCTGGACGCCCGGGGCTGGAGCGCGGGGGCGTGCTGGGAACGACTTCACAAGCAGCTTTCTGTGGTCACCCCTGCTTTGTAGCATTTGCCAGCTCCGTGGTATAAACGCTCCCACCGTGGCCCGTTTCAAGCGACCAACAGGATGCCACCCGAGAGAGTCGGGAGGAGGAGCACGAAATCGGCTCGGTGTGAGCCAGCCCCCACGCCCCCTCCACTACTGGGAGTGTTTGGAACAGAACGTGGGGTTTCCTGGATGTTCCTGTTGTTTATGGAAACAACAGGAGGGAATGTTTTGAATCAGAATGTGCAGGCCATGAGGGTCCGGCGGCCACAAATGTCACGCTGCCCTCCCACCACGTCCAGCCTGCTGCTCTGAAAGTGCTGTCCCCTCCTCTCGGGAGCGTCTGCACCCGTCTGATCTTTTACATCCCTCGTATTCTGTGGCCTCTTTCCATTTATTTATCAGCTTGTCTTAGACCTTAACCAGGGCTGTCCATCCACACTGGACACTGTGGAAATGGCCTCTCCTAGGGCTCCCCCCCCCTCCCGCCGCCCTGCCCTGGAACAAAGCTCTTGCCTAGCAGCTCCGTGACCTCCATCTGGTCTCCTGCTTCTTTTGCTTTTTCCTTTTCCGTTTTTGTTAATCCTCACTCGAGGATATTTTTCCATTGATTTTTAGAGAGAGTAGAAGGGAGGGTGAGAGACAAAGAGACACATTGATTGGTTGCCTCCCACACATAGCCCTGGTTAGGGCCAGGAATCGAGCCTACAACCAAGGTATGTACCCTTGACCGGAATTGAACCCGGGACCCTTCAGTCCATAGGCCGATGCTCTACCCACTGAGCCACACCGGAGAGGGCTGGTCTGCTTTCTTCTTTGCCAGCCTCTAATCCATTCTCCATGAGGCAGCCAGAGTGATCCTTTTAAAGATGCAGATCTTCACGTGTTACTCCCTTCTTAAGTCCCTTTCGAGGTTCTACTTCAGGGGTTAAAAAAAAAGTGTTTTGAAGTCCTCACTTCTGGGCGGCAGCCACCCTGGCCTCCCTCCCGGTCCTGGAAGGCTCCAGGCCTCCTCCCACCTCCCGGTCGGCCTGCACCGTTCTTTCCCCATTGTCCTCCTGGCTCTGCTTTGTTGCTTCCCGGGGAGGTCTTGCTGACCATCCCATTAACGTAGCATCCCCCTCTTGTTTTTCCTGTGTTTCCAGGAATGCATGTATCCAAAACGAATACTTTCTCCTCTATGCTTATGGATCACATGTACTGAATATGTGTCTCTCACCCCAACTAGGATGCTGGGAGTCATATCTGTTTCACCCACTTTAACACCCCCAAACAGCACCTAATAGAGTGTCTGGAATATCATTGGTGGTTTCATGTATTAATAAATGAGTAAATGTGGATGGCTTACTGGTTGGTGAATGTATGGGTAAATAAGTGGATGGATGATCGATGGATACATGTTTGGTTGGATGAGTGACGGATGGGTGAATAGTGGCTGATGCTGGATGGGTAGCTACGAATGAATGAACTTTCCCACTAGGCTGTCTGCTTCTTCAGGGCAAGTACCGTATCTTACTCTGAACCTACAGTGCCTGCACAGGACAGGCACGTGGTAAATTGTGGTGGTCGAGTGAGCAAATGAATAAAAGAATGAATGGATGAGACAAGTCCTCTAGCAGCTTCTCTCTCTATTTAGAATGCCCTCCTGACCCCCCCTCCTCCCCGGCTGCTGCTCCTTTACACCAAGCGGTGGCCAGAGGTGACAGCTGATGGTGTTTTCCATCCACAGGGAGCGACCCGACCTCGGTGGACCCCATGGTCCTGGAGCAGTACGTGGTGGTGGCCAACTACCAGAAGCAGGAGAGCTCGGAGATCAGCCTCAGCGTGGGCCAGGTGGTGGACATCATCGAGAAGAATGAGTCAGGTGGGCGCCCAGACCACCTCCTTCCCCTCCCAACACTCTCACCAAGCCCCTCGGTCAGGAACACGGGGAAGCGCAGCAACGGCCGTCGCCGATCGGGCTGGCCCGTTTCCGCAGGTCCGGCGGATGACCCCTGTTTGGTCCGAGTGCTCAGATCTCCTGCTTGGTCCCAACCCACCAGCGTCCTGTTGGGTCAGATGTTACCGATTGGCTTTGAGGTTCACATTTCATGAACATTCTCCTGGCTTAGAGCACCTGGAGACACAGAGTCTAGCATTCCCCTGAGAATTTGCCCTGTTGATTTTCTTTGATGACTCTGGGCGTCTCCACCAAGGCTCCATCAGCCGTGGGCTCTGGTGTGGACTGGACACACCGCCTGTCTCCCCCGTGCACCTGCCCCTCGCAGCGACCACTGGTCATGTGCACTGGCCACTGGTCATCTGGGACAGATGGGGTACGATCGAGACGCTTGGCCGGGGCCTCCATCTGAAGTCTGCGTTTCACAGCGGTCCAGGTGGCTGCTTCCCTCTCACCACCAATTCTCTCATCTGTAAAGAGAAAAATGAGATAATATATGGAGAGTGTCTGAGCCTGTGTTGGGCACACAGTAGGTACTTAAAAATGTGAGCTTCCTTCCCTTTTACCTCCCTTAGCCACAAAGCAGCCATTGGCGCCGTTAAAAGCAAAGAGTGGGGAGCAGGAGGCAGTGGATCCCCTCTAGGAAAAAGTGACATAAATCTACTGGCTTTGTTGTGACTAAAATGTGACATTGGCTATAATATCAACATCAGACCAGTCTCTGTGATACCCCGATGGCTAGTTAAAGTCCAAAAAATAATGGAAAGGCTCTGCTCCGAGCAGCATGTGGATTCCATTCCCATTCGCCATGAGGTCCGGGTTAGCCAACCAAAAGTTCTTAATTATTCGACCTCGAGATTGTTACCCCTGCCTCACAGCTGGAGGGACAGAGTCCAAGTGACTTGGTCGCTCACCCAAACCTCCCGACAGGATTCGGAGCTGGAATTCCCATCCAGTGCCAGCTGGCCTCAGGCCGTGTGGCTCTCTCGTTCCTGGGAATGAGTTTATGCAGATTATCGGGGTGGCTGGGGTGCTCCTGAGGACCAAGGAACAGCGCACCCACTCCCCCGGCCACCTGCTTGAGTGAAGTCAGAACAAAGGCATCGCAGGAGAAGAGTGGGGGCCGGGAGGGAGTTGGAGACAAGCCTGGTGTGTCCAGAGGGCAGCGGAGGGGGGACAGGCAGGTAGTCAAATCTTCAAGTAAGATTTACTACTTATCCAAGTAGTACATGGATACATTCTTCTTGAAGCATTCATGATAAAGTGAAAGTCTATTTTTCCCACCAGCTTCAAACCCCAGATAGCCCTTCTATCGAGTTGGTATGAATTCTTCTATGATAATTGTATGCACACAGCACGCATATATGTGTGTGTGCATGTGTGTGTGCATAAGGTCACACCTTTGCAGTATTGCGTGTCTGGTTCTACACCCCCGCAGTAAAGCAAATACCGCAAATATCACAGTAAAGCGAATCGCACAAATTGGTTTTCCAAGGCATGTGAAAGTTACGTTTACACTATAGTCAATAGATAATATTATGCCTTAAAAATGTACACACCTCAATTTAAAAATAATCTATTGCTAAAACATGCTAACCATCACCTGAGCCTTCAGCGAGCACGTAATATTTTTGCTGGTGGAGGGTCTTCCCCTTCAATTTATTTTAAAAACGCACTGTCTGCAAAGTGCAGTAAAGTGAAGCGTACGGCAAGGTGTGCCTCTGTGTGTGTGTGGGTGGCAGCCCTTCCTCCATCCTCCCAGCCAGCAGTCTGGTGCCTCTTCCGTAGCCACGGCTCCCCCTGCCTCCTCTGCCTCCCTCTTCCATAGTTCCCGACCCTGGCGATGACATGGGCCACCCAGATAATCCAGGACCGTCTCCCTGTTTGAAGGTCATCTGATTAGCAACCTTAATCTCCTCTGCAACCTTTCACATATTCATAGGTTCCGGGGATTATGTGGGTTATCTCCAGTGGGTCATTATTCCGCCCACCACTAGCTCCCTGGGACTTTTCTCTGAAGAGGGAGGGCCTGGGTCTGGGTGAGCGGCCTCTCAGGTAGTTACACCTGCAGCCACTTGACCTTGACATGAACAGATGCACAGCCCGGAGAGTTACGAGGGCAGTGGCTTCAGCATCAGACAGCCCTGCCGTAGCCGTGAGGACTTGGGCAGGTCTGTTCGCCTCTTGGAGCCTCGGTTTCCTGCTCTGAGCAGTGAGGACGATCACGTGAAGATGCTGAAAGGCGATGCAACTACAGTGACTCTTACCGGACACACCTAGTGAAGGACTCTCGCCGTTCAGGACGGCCTTGCCCTCCCCGTCCCTCCCCAGCAGTCAGTTGACACGGCTCGCTGTGTTCCACCAATAGGAAGGCGCCTGTCGGCCTTAGCCTGAGTGTGACGCACTCGGTGCCTGAATGTGTCATTCTACTCTGGCACCCAGACCTCACAGCTGACCCGCTAACATCCGTCTGCTCTCGTCTTCCCAGGTTGGTGGTTCGTCAGCACCGCTGAAGAGCAAGGCTGGGTGCCCGCCACCTGCCTCGAAGGGCAGGACGCTGGGCAGGACGAGTTTTCCCTGGAGCCGGAGGAAGGTAAGCGGGAGCTCGAGCCTCGCACCCGCGGGGGAGCCCTGTGCTGGCCGTCACCACGTGGGGGCCTCCACCCCCAGAACCTTCTCTTCACGTCTGCCTCCGAGAGGGCATGAAGCCAGGCATGGGGTCGGGGTTGATGGGCAAGCCCGCCCTTCCTCAGGGGCCTTAGGGAGCTGGGCCCTGACCCCTCCCTGGAATGATCCTGGCAGCCAAGGTCCTCGGGCTGCTTCCAGCTCATTTGCAGGCCGTCTGAGGCCATCTGCAAAGGGCTCTGCTTTCTCCGCTGGCATAACAGCCCTGACTGGGCGTCAGGATTAGGGCTGACCCCCTTCACTCACCCACACACACACACGCTTCCATTTCCCGGAGAACTTTCCCCACGGGTGTCCCGAAGCGTGGCTTCTGCCGTGTCAGAAATGCTGAGGCCCCCTGACTCCCTTCCCCGGGAAAACATTTCTAAAACGAGAGGATGCGTGCAACTTAGCTGATAAACAGAGGATGGGAGGGTCAGACAGACCAGAATTCGAACCTCAGCTGCTCCACTTACTGACTGAGGGGACTGGGCCAGCAACTTAACCTCTGCCGCTCAACCACCTCCTCCAAAAACGGAAGTGATGTCCCCGTCATGAGGTTTTCTTTTTTATTATCAAATGCGACCCATATGCAAAGCCCTTGACAAAGATCCTCAACCAATAATAAAAAACGAGGGCCCGTTGTTATCATATAGCTATGCCTTGCCTTAGGGCCGAACACTTGGGCTTAGTTGACTGTTTTGAGGAAGCGCAAAGCCTCTTAAGTGTACACTTGTCAGAACACAGGGTGAGGAGAAGCGGCATATTTCTGTGCTCAAAGGAGAGCAACAAGAATTACATGTAGCAACAACAGCCCACAGCCCTCAGAGTAAAATTAAAAGGGTTCTGTTGGATTGCCCTGTGTGTGTGGGCCCGGGAGGCACTGGGGACCAGGCTAACCTGGGAACACTGCAGAATCAGCTCAGGGTCGGGGGCAGGGGTGCACTGCGTGGAAATTCCAGCTCCCCTACACAGTTAATGACGGCCACGCGGCGTGCCTCTGCAAGGGACTGGTCGTTACCCCATTTCACAGATGGAAAAACAGGCTCAGAAAGGTGGAAACGCCTGCCTGGGGTCACACAGCTAGTAAGAGGGAGAGAGACCACATTTTCCCAAGGATTTGTACCTTGTTCTTCCCTCTGCAATAAGGACCTCTCTTAGGGCCTCACTGTAATCATGCCAGGGATAGAATTATGTCTACTGGGCACCTCTTCGCTCAGCTTTAGGGTTAATACTCAGGACCGTGGACCTTTGGCGACACCTGGGCTTGGCGTCGACTCAGAAATAAGTGTTCTTAAATGGGAACGCACACGTGGTGCCCTTTTTGCCTGGAGATACTGGGAGTGCTGTCTTCTCACCTCTGCCTTCTGCCCTTCACCTCCACATGCTGCCTGTCCAGTCTCGTGGAGGTACTGGTCTTTGCCCCGGCCCATGGGCCGCCGCCGGACCCTGGGGGACTTGTATGCCATCAGCTGGCGTCAAGGTTGTCTGCCTCAGTGTTTTCTTCCCCGTTCGGGGTTGGGAGCCGGGTCCTTGCGTCTGCATGCGCCTCCTGCCCTGGGCGGCCTGTGCCTGCTGCATGTGAGAAAGGGATCGTGTCTGTGCCGTGCGTGTGTTGGCATGCAGGTTTGGGAGGAGGGAGCCTGGGGCTGAAAGTTTCCCGGGTTAAGAAATGATGTCTGGGGGCTTCTAGGATGCTGAGCCGGCGACCTGTTCCTTTCCTCAGGCACATTTGAGTGCAAGGAAAAGAAACCCACGTCACACTGGCTTAAACTAAAAGGAAAGTATAACTGACTCGTCGCTGAAAAGCCCAGGGTAGGGCTAGCTTCAGGCATGGCTGGATCCAGGGGCTGGAAAACATCCTGGGGTCCTGAGACTCACTCTTGCCACCTCTCTGCTCTGCTCTCTACCTGGCTGGAGCCATTCTCTCACGGCAAGCGTAGTTCCAGGCACCCTCCAGGGACACCCACCGAAGAAGGTGCTTCTCCTTCAACACAGATCCCAGGGAGGGCTCCATCTGGCCCACGTGGGTCATACACCGTCCTTGTGTCAGTCACGGTGGTCAGGGGATGCCAGGGTCACCCCCTCCCCTCCCTCCAGGAGGTGGTGAAGTCAGCTCACCCAAGCCCTGTGGATGGAGTTGGTAGGAAGGGTGGGTGGGCGCTTAGCAGCAGTGCCACCGGGCGCCACCATTCAGTCTCCAAGGTCTACCTTAAGCTTTGTCAGGGCTCATGAGTGTCCCGTGGGGCCCACGGAGGCTCTGGGTGCTAGAGAACCCCCGTGTGCGAGTCAGCTCACTCTGGGTGCCGGCCCCTGGAGTCCAGGGCCCGCGGGACTCACTGCACTGAGTCTGGGACCCACCCAAGCAGGAGGTCTGTGCACGGACAGGGTCGAATTACCCCGCCCCCACCCGCAGCCGCCCGGAGCGAGGGGAACAGCTGACTGCTGCAACACAGGATATGTGCAACTCGAGTCAGCTCAGCCCCCGGA